AATGATGAGTGACACTGAACCGTCAAACATCAAGTAACAAATGGATTAAGGCTTTGATTTGTCGTTAATTGCACATGTCGGCATTCAGTTGGTATGTATGTATGTATATACGTACGTACGTACGTATGTATGTTTATATGTATGAATGTTTGGGTGTATGTATGTATTTATGTATGTGAATGTGTGTGTATGTGTGTGTTTTGTCTTAGTCATGAAAATAATTTACTACTGAATACCCAGAAATTAATGCATATAATAATCATTAGCATCCGATGCTGCGTTATGTCATTTATTGTCTTCATCTTCGTCGTCGTCATCATCATTATCATATTTAAAATCATCATCATCATCACAGCCATCATCATTATCATCGTCGTCGTCATCGGCAGCAGCAACAGCAGCTTCAACAACGTCACTATCGTCATTCTTATCAATATTATCATTTTATTAAGTTTCATGATTAAGTATAATGAAAAAAAGCAAAATCATTTTTATCGCTATCATTATCATCATCATCCTTATCATCCGTACCACCACTATCGTCATCATCATCATCATCATCATTGCCCAATAATCATCATCATTATCGCCATCATCATAATCATCATCATCATCACCTCTTTCTTAGCTTCTTTCTTTACATCATCCTTAGATGACTTGATATCTTTTATCTTCTTATTAATAACCTGTTTATCTTTAGCGTCTTTGGTCTCTTTGGTATCTTTAGTATCTTTGGTTTCTTCTCCGATGACGTCACCAGAGCCGCCATCTTCACTGATCGCCGAGACGGAAAGTTTAATAGGGATGGGTTTCATAATCTCCATCATGATTGGTGAGGGAATTTTCGCTTTCGGGGCCGAAAATGTCGGGGTCTTATTTGTCAGTCTTCGGAAAATGAGTGGGTGGATGAATGAAATAATGAATTAATAGATGGATGGATCGCTAGATAGATAAACGAATTGATGATGGAATAAATGAATGAATGAATGAATGAACAAATATTTGATTAAATTTATTATTGGCTGCGTAAATAAAATGCGGATTGGATATATAGACGAATGATTGAATGGATGAATGAATGGATGGATGAATGACTAAATGGATGAATGAATGAATGAATGAAGAATAAATAAAAAAGGAAGGAACGAAGGAAAGAACGAATGAATGAATAGACTATTTATGAACCTATTTTACTCACAGCAAAATTATGTTTAGCAAATCTAATTTTCATGTTAACCCACTTATCGATTACAGAACGCATAGCAGATTTAGCAACCGAGTACTATTCTTGAACGACGGATTGAATAAATGAAGGAATAAATGAATGGATAGATGATAGATGGATAGATTGATAGATAAATGAATGAGTGAATGAATAGATGAATGGATGAATAAAAGAACGATGAATGAAAAAGTGAATGAATACCGTTTGAAACGTACAGGTAAATTATAAGCGAAGGGACAAACTAACAAACGAACGAACGAATGAATGAATGAATGAATGAACGAACGAACGAACGAACGGACGAACGAACGGACGAACGAACGGACGGACGGACGGATGGATGGATGGATGAATGAATGAATGAATGAATGAAATTGACAGAACAAATAAAACAAACAAACAAAACGAAAAACAAGACTGACCACAAAAAATTGTAATCAATTAATTAAACAAATAGGAATAAACCCTTTCCTACCTTTCCTTTGAATCAATGCTCATCAGCTGTCTTTGTTGTTGTTGCTGTTGTTGATGTTGTTGTTGTTGATGTTGTTGTTGATGTTGTTGTTGCTTATGTTGTTGTTGTTGTTTTGTAATTGCTGGCGATAATGGCAACTTTCTATTTTTGGCCTCTACTTTTCCATCTTTTTGAATTTTAGAAGCCGCGGTTTGCTGTTTTGTAGTAGCTGTTGTAGTAACTACACTGGCCGCAGTGGTACCTATAGCAACAGCGCCAATAGTACTTGTAGTAATGTCAGTAGCAGCAGTAGCAGTAGTGGTGGTATGTAAAATCTGAGGTGTCGGTCTAGCGGTCGGATAGTGAGTAGCGGATATCTTATCCGATTCGTTATCCGCGATGAAGACACTCGATCCGGTATCAACATCGGTAGTTTTTTTCGAATCCGGAATGGCGGAAATGGATCTCAATTTTCTTTTTCCTCCATCTTTGCCGATGTTTTCTTTCCGTTTTGGTTTAGCCTCCTGGTCGAACATTTCAATGAATCCTTGATTTTTCTCAAGGTTCAACGCCAGTCCCAACTGATTCCGGGATTTTTTGGAATCGATGTTCAGAGAGAGAGAAACGACGTTCTTTTCATCTCTACCGCCATTTTTATTTTTTCCATCCTTCGCCACCTCCTCCACAGAAGTCGGATATTTGTGTTGGATATTTTTCAAATTCCTCAACTCAACTAAACTCTTCTCATCCGAACGTTCTAGAATCGCCGAAACTGGCCTGCGCTGCTGATGCTGCTTGTGCTTCACGGATGGCTTCATCAAGTTGAAAGCTGCAGTAGTAGTAGTAACTGCAGTGGCTGTTGCAGTCGCCGCATTAGACACTGCATTCTGTTTATTACCAATGGTTTCTGACGGTTTCAAAATGATTCCAGTTTTGCCAAAACCATCAAATTTTCCACCATGTTTATGTTCTTTCCCATTTTGAAAAGTTGAGCTTCTAGGAGCGAAAAGTTCCGATGTTGGAATGGTGACACTGAAAATGGGGTGGCTCGACCCTTTGGTGGCCCCCCCGTGACCTGCTTGCTGCTGCTGCTGTTGCTGCTGTTGCTCTAGAAATTTGGAACGGTAGTCCGGCGGAGCCGATCCTGTGATGATCATTTCTGTTACTTAAAACTAGTTTTGTTGTTGTTTTGTATTGTCTGTGTGTGTCTGTCTGTCTTGGTGTCTGTGTGTGTATGTGTGTCTCTCTGTGTGAGTGCGTGGCTTATTTATGCGTGTGTTTATACTACTATCTATCTATCTATTATTATCACTATTGTATTACATCAATCACACGCAACGCATCTACCGTTAGGACATCAATCTGTAATGTTGTGATTAGTAATATCTTTGTCCTTTCGTATCCTTCCAACCATACATTCTTATTCGTTACTACCACTACTACTACTACTACTACAACGACGACTACTACTACTACTATCACTACTACTACCACTTCTACTACTACTACTGCTACTGCTACTTCTACCACTACTACTACTATCACTACTACTACTACTACTACTGCTACTACTACTGCTGCTACTATTTTTGCTACTACTACTACTACTACTTCTTCAGCTACTACTACCACCACTACTACCAAGTATTAGCAGAAGCCACAGCTACTACAACAACTACTACTTGTGGTACTACCAGTGGTGAAAAACAGATACTAACTGCATCTAAAGCATACGGTAATTACATCATCTTTATCATCTCGTCTCGCCATACGCGTGGTTGAAGCAACCGTTGGAGACGCGTAGCTAGGCAGTCTCCCTGCAACACTGTGTGGCCGCTTCACCTGCTGCTGTGGTTGCTGAGACTGTTGTGGACTGCCTTGTTGCTGCTGGTGTTGTTTGGGGCTTTTGGACCCGTTTGTCATCGTTGCTGCTGTCGCTGCTGCTGTGGCGATGTGGATGGTTTGGTCATGCAGTTGGCGGTTGGTGTGGTGTGGTTGGTGGTATACGCACACATACACACATATATATTCCCACATACATATATTCACACACACACATACATACACACATACACATACTCTCACGCACACACTTACGCACACGCACGCAAACAAACACAGGAAGCAAATTAAACTACGCTTGGCCAAACAGTAATTGAATACTTTTTATTAGGAGTTAGTATAGTATGTGAAAATGATGATGACGATAATGATATTGACAAAGATGTTAAAGATGCTTATGATGATGATGATGATAATGATGACGCAGAAAGTGTTAAAAACAAACACGAAATATAAACATCGAATCTTGAACCATAGAGTTCAAACCATAGACATAAAACAATGGATACAAATATAAACATAGACAAACTAAAAATATATAGAAATAAACATAGAACATTAAAAAATGACATTGAAATAAAAACATAGACATTAAAAACATAAACAACAGAATACCTCCATTAGTTTTTTGTTTAAGTTCTTTTTCCATCGCTTTTTTCAAAATAGCAGCTTTTCTTTGCTGTTAGTTAGTTTGTTTGTTTGTTTGTTTGTATGTATATATTGTATGTATGTATGTATGTATGTATGTATGTATGTATGTATGTATGTATGTATGTATGTATGTATGTATGTATGTATGTATGTATGTATGTATGTATGTATGTATGTATGTATGTATGTATGTATGTATGTATGTATGTATGTATGTATGTATGTATGTATGTATGTATGTATGTATGTATGTATGTATGTATGTATGTATGTATGTATGTATGTATGTTTGAATACATAATAATAATAATAATATTAATAATTTTAATAATAATTCCAATAATAATTTTATTTTCAATGTGCCATTCGTATAGTCGACAACATCCAAACATCGTAGTAAAACTCATGACATTCAAGCCCGCAATCGAGCACAAGGCTGCTTTCTTCTATAAATGTTTCTTATTCGTTACTACCACTTCTACTACCACTACTACTACTACAACTACTACTACTACCACTACTACTACTACAACTACTACTACTACCACTACTACTACTACTGTTATGTTTCATGTTTCTTCTATAAATTTTCGCCCAGACAGACCAAACAACAATTGAATCTAGAACTGAGTTGGTTACCCCTAATTCGTGATGCAAATATATGATGGAAAGTTTTTTTTAGCACAATAACGAATGCTCTTTGTGACACTGTTCTACGAGCAGTGGCTAAACCGAGGTGGTGGGTACGAGTACGGGACTGCCTCCCACCCACCATCGAATCATGAAAAAAATGGCATTGAAGATTCAGTGTGTAAGGTGAATAGGAATTTGGCTGAAGATTTTGAAACATATTCCATCCACTAAAATGGGAGTTTTTAAATAACTCCCAATCACAAATTTCCAAATCAGCCTGTGTTTTTGTTGTCGTTGTTGTTGTTGTTGTTGTTGTTGCTGATGATGATGATGTTGATGTTGTTGTTGTTGTTGTTGTTCCCATCATTATCATTATCTCTGAGGAATTTTATTCATTTGTTTATTTTTGTTAAAAACCGTCACCTAAATGAAAGACTTCGATTGTTAAATGTTTTGAAAGTGAATTGGCGAATGAATGAGTGAATGAATGAAAGAATGAATGGTTAGATAGATAGACGGATGGGTGGATGAAAGGAAGAAAGGAAGGAAGGAAGGAGGAACTGATGGATAGATGAATGGATGTGAAACATGCATGTCTAGAATGTACTTCGGAGTTTACATTTTTTTATTATTTATTCGTGATTTTATGTTTCTGCTTTTGTTCTTTGTTTTGTGCTTACAACAACAACAACAACAACTACAACCACAACAACAACAACAACAACTACAACCACAACAACAACAACAACAACTACAACCACAACAACAACAACAACAACTACAACAATAATAATCTCATTAGCAAGCATCGTCGTCATCGTCTAGCTCAACATCACTACAAAATCATCGTTATCACCATCGTCACTCATTATAATTCCACCAACACCATCCGCATTGCTATAACTATATCATCATCATCATCGTCGTCATCATCGTCATCATTAGCATAAATTTCTCATAGCATCACCACTATCAACATGGCTTTAACAATGCCAACGTTTCATCATCATCATCATCATCATCATCATCATCTTCATCGTAATCGTCATCGTCATCATCGTCGTCATCATCTACTTACACTCTCGCTCTCCATCAGCATCTTCCTTCTCTTCTCAGCCTCCGCTCGGTGCTCGTCATCCCTCTTTCTTAATTCATTCATTTTCTTCCTTCGTTCGTCGTCGCACTTTTTCTTGTTTTCTTCTGCTTTTTGCTCCATCTCTCTGAGTCCATTTTCCAACTTTTTCCTGTCTTCCAGTTGTTTTTCTTTGTGGATTAGTAATTTGTGGCCTATGTTGTTGCTATTTTTTGTGGCTGCTGCTGTTGTAGCTGCTGTTGTAGCTGTTGTATCCAGAGCCACTCCGTTAGTAGTAGTAGTTGTTGTTGCAATGGGGTTGTTGTTGTCCGAGTTGTTTATATTTGTATCGCCATTGCTCGTATTTATAGGTGTTGTTGTTGTTGGCGTTGTTGCTGTTGCTGCTGCTCCTGCTGCTGTGGCTGCTAGCAGCTTTCGTTTTTTAGCATCTGTTGATTGTCCATTGGTCAGTTTATGTTCAGCTGTGAGTTGTTGTTTGTGTTGTGATGTGTTAGATCTTCTGATGTCCGATGTAGTCGATTGTGGCGATTTTCTCGCAGTAATTTGTTTTGATGATGTGATTGTTGTTGTTGCTGCTGCTGCTGACGATGACGTCATCATCGTTGTTGTTGCTAATGGCAATCTCGATGCTGTTGCAGCGTCATTTTTGTTTCCGTCATCACCTTTTCCAATGGGTATTTTTCTAAGTGTAGTTGAGGATGATGTCATTTCGGATGTTGTTGTTGCTGACGTTGTTGTTGATGTTGCCGATGTTGTTGTTAATGTTGCTGATGTTGTTGTTGTTGATGTTGGTATTTCTACTTCCAATGCTTTCAATGTATCTTCAGCATCTCCAGTAGTAGTAGTAGTAGTAGTGGTAGCACTAGCTGCAGTAGTAATATTACTAGATGTACCAACTGTTGAAGCAATTAAAGTAGCTTCAGTAGTGATAGTAGTAATAGCCGCATTAGTAGTAGTAGCGGCAGTAGTAGTAGTAGTAACTGCAGTAGTAGTTAAAGTTGACATAGTAGTAGATGCAGTATTTGTAGCAGTAGTACTAGAATCTGCAAAAGTATTAGTAGTAGTAGCAGTAGTAGCAGTAGTAGCTGAAGTAGTAGTAGTAGTAGTAGTAGTAATAGTGGCGGCTGCAGCAACAGTAGTAGTAGTAGTGGTAATGTTGGTAGTAGTTGTAGTCGGTTTCATTGAAAATACATCGTCGTTGTTATCCTCTGAGGGAGTTTTTTGAGAATTAATAATTAGCCATTCAAGTTAACTTAACTGGTTTTGATGATGATGTTGTTTGTGGCTATGATGATGATGATGGTGATGACGATGATGATGACGATGATGACGATGGTGGTAGTGATGGTGATGTTAATTAGTGAAGATGATGGCGATGATGGCTGTAATAATGATGACTATAACGGTAACATCCACACAAATTGTCTGTGTTTATGTCTGAAAATCAGTCTGTCTGCCTTTCCACGTCTGTATTTATGTCTGAAAATCAGTAAGTCTGCCATTCCGCGTCTGTGTTTATGTCTGGTTTATGTAAACATACTAAGAAGAGAAATCAAGCAATTTTTATGTATGGAATATATTAATGGGTGGATGTTTATTGTT